CGATGCTCGTGGCCGGTGACGCAGCAGTGGTGAGCCGGCCGCTCTCGCCTCGCCTCGCCTCTCCTCGCCTACTCTCCTCGCCCGTCCTCGCCCGCGATTTGTGCCGTTTCCTCGCCTCGCCTCGCCTCGCCTCTCCTCTCCTCTCCGGCCACCGACTCGCCATCTCGAGCTCACCGTCTCGCCATCTCGAGCTCACCGTCTCGCCTCCCTCCCTCTGCCAGCTGGTTCTTCTACTTCTCCAACGTGCAGGCGATCGCGACCCTCTGGATGACCGTCCTCTGCATCTTCCTCTGGGGCCTGCTCGAGGGGCTCATCGTCAAGGACTTCATCGCAAAGGTGCCCGACAAGATCACCTTCTGGGTCGACTACGCCACGCACCCGACGCCGCTCTCGACGCGCATCTGCATGTTCCTCATCTTCACGGCGCCGCCCCCGCCCCCGCCCCCGGCCCCACCCTCGCCCCCGCCCCCGCCCCCGCCCCTGACCAGGCCACCTGTCGCCAGGTCTTCCCCTTTTACGTCGTCGCGTTCGTCTCCAACGGCAACAAGCTGACGGAGAACTACTACGCGGGCCTGTACCAGCTGCGCGTGATGCTGCGCTCGCTGGCGAGCCGCCCCGAGGCTGGCACGTACGCCTACTGCACTCTCGCCTACTGGACGATCCTCACCGAGATCTGGACCGTAAAGCAGCGCCCAGCAAGCCAGGGACAGATGACACAGGCGACTTGAGCGCGTATCACCCAAAACTATTCACTTTTGAGCGCCATATGCGCAGGTGCGTATGTCAACATACGCGCCTCCACGTGTGAGCGCTCATATTGACTAATATTCGCGTCTGCATGTGTGGGAGCGTATGCTGACCGCCACGCACCCACGCCGACACCGCGAGTACTAGCTAAGATAGGCGCCACAAGCGTGGGCGCTCATCTCAAGATACGCAGCTACACGTGTAGGCGCGAGCCTTACTCAAGATAAGCGCCCAGACACGAAGACGGACGGTATCTGGGCTACCTGGACGCAGACGCGCATCCTCATGCGTGGGCGCTCATCTTAGTTAATACTCGCGTCCACACATGCAGGTGCGTATATGGGCTCGGTGCACATGAGCACTTACACGTCAGGGCGCGAGCCTTAGCTAAGATACGCGCCTACAC